CTGACGGTCCTCCATCCTTTAACATTTACAGCATAGAGTATTGTGACCATCAATTGCATCTACGCGGTGTTCCTACTATCTAATAGGTGAGGATAGGTCCTAATCTCACCCGCGGATGCGTAGATGAGGTCAGTTTCCATGATCCGCTCCTCTCTGAGATAGAATTTCGGCAGCACCTCCCCGTTGTTCTCCCGATACACGTCCTGCAAGGGAGAGTGTGTATCCGGAGAACAACAGGGAGGTGTTGCCGAAACTCCTTCTTGGACCGGAGCGGACCATGGAAACTAACCCATCTATGCATCCACGGGCTGTCCAAAAAACGTGGACAATCCAAAACAGATACGCTCGCAGATACGCAAAGATCCGCATACCTACGACCGTATCTCTTTCGGACGGGAGACGCTTAAGCGGAGTTCTGGCTGGCTACGATGCAGACATGCACAAAAAGAGGTTATTTATACCTAGGGTGTCGGTGAAGTAAGGCTAAGCAGGCGATGGCGAATCGGCCTTTGATGGCGTGGCGGACCTTGATCTTGTGCAGAACCGCTGACGTCGACGAAGACGATCGGGTCCTCCGGGTCCCCTCCGACGTACTCCTCTCCGGCATAAAAAGACAATAGGTTATTTTTTGTTCAAAATTTCGGTAGCACCTCCCCTGCATGGGGAGGTTTCCAAAACCCGCAAAAAACGACACGATGGTCGACATTCACAACAGCACGAAGGCCGACAACCACAATGGCACAAAGGCCCTCATATCAAGTTACGTCACGAAGGCCCACACAACCACATATGGCACGAAGGCCGATAACGAGAGTTTTACCTGGGGTTGCGGTGGAGTCGGGCGTCATGGGTGCTTGGGGTCACTTTCTTCTCCCATGAGGTCGAGCGGCGTTGGAGTACCTCTCCCCTCTTCCCTTTCTTCTCTCATTTTCCCTTCTTCTCCTTCTCTTCCCTTCCTCCTTCTCCTCTTCTTCTCCTTTTCTTCCCTTCATCCTTCTCCTCTTCTCCTTCTCTTCTTCCTCCAACTTCACCTCTCGCCTCCTCCTCCAACAAAGAAATGCATGACGGGGCGGGCCTGGGGCTGGGGTCATGAAAGGCGGCGAGGGGAGCACGGAGGGCCGGCCGGGGCGGTCGACCTCCCCTTTCTCGACGGAGACGGGGAACAGAGGCAGGGCGCGACCTCGGCCACCAATGGGCGTGGTGGGGCGGCGGGGCGCGCTAGTGGGGCACCGGGGCGAGCTGGGCGGCCGAGCATGGGGCGGTGGGGTGGGGTGGGCAGAAGTGGCGGTGTGTGTGTGGCAAGACTGTGTGGTGGGGAGGCACTTGGGCGACTGGGCTGGCTGGCTGGCTCAGCTGGCGGCATGTGGTGGAGGCGCTGGGTCACTGGAATGGCCTTGTGAAGGGGGCTGGCATGATGGGGCAGGCTCCGTCCCATGGCCAAGATAGCATGTGATAGCAAGGGTGGTGGGGTGCGTGGTGGCGGTGGGGACGCACATGGGGCATGAAATGAGGCGTGGGGAGGGAGATGGTCGAGCGTTTTTTTTTCACAATTTCCGATCTGGAATTTGGGTCATGGCCCGATTGAGGTTTCGGTGCTTTGCCCGAGGGCCCAGATCTATGGCCGTCGGCAAAGATTTTATTTTATTTTTTAATTCTTTTTGCCGAGGGCCCGGATCCACGGACCCTCGGAAAGATTTTTATTTTTTAAAAAATTCTTTTGTCGAGGGGCCACAAGGAGCCCTCGGCAATTTTTTTTTTTGTTTTTTAGCCCAGTTTTTTGTGGTGCTACAATACATTGTTTTGAACTCAATTTTAAAATTTAGGCCAATTTTGATTTTGTTTTGTATATTTCCTTAATTTATTTCGATTCTTTGATTTTTTTTGAATATGTCAAATTTGAGCTGCAGGTGCATGGAATATTGCAATGTAGTGTTTTGAAAAATGTTATTCATGTTAATTGGTGCATGTTGAGTCCCTATCCACGACCTCGCATCTCGCGTAACATGACGACCGACTTGCCGGAAAAGTGTTTTAAAATTATATAAAATCCATACGAAGTCCGAAAATCACGAAACTTGGCGAGATGTCATGTTATCGCATGTCTAGGCTGTGGTAAAAAATTGAGAAGGCTTCGAGCGAGTTGCGACGTCGGATGCCTGCCCCATGGCCCTCGACAAAGAATTTTTTAAAAAAAAATAAAAAATCTTTGCCGAGGGCCTATCCTGGCCCTCGGCAAAGGGATTCTTTGCCGAGGGCCTAGCCTCGGGCCCTCGGTAAAGGCGATTTATAAAAAAAAAAATTGGCCAAAAAACTGGTTTTAAAAAAATCTTTGCCGAGGGCCTGGTCTAGGGCCCTCGGCAAAGACTTAAAAAATTTTTGCCGAATAACCTGGTTGCACAGGAAAAAAAAAACCTTTGCCGAGGGCCTAACGGGTGGCCCTCGGCAAAGCTTGACGAGAAATGGCCGCCGTGACCCAACGGGCCTAATTTGCCGAGGGCATCTTTGCCGAGGGCCTGTCTTTGCTGAGGGCCGTACCCTCGGCAAAGGCCTCTTTGCCGAGGGTCGTTCTTTGCCGAGGGCTCCTGTGGCTGGCCCTCGGCAAAGAGTGTCTTTGCTGAGTGCCCGAGATTTGGCCCTCGGCAAATCCTCAGGCCCTCGGCAAAGCACGTGTTTCCAGTAGTGCAAGTGCATGTTCCATAGCCACATCCACAATCCGTAACGCATCAGAAACTGACTGACAAGCCCTTTTGGGCCTAAGGTCACAGCTCTCTGATCCAGCTGGAGCCTTGGACTCGTGGAGAGATGACTCACTCTCATTCTGCGATTGGCGAGGGGTGTTCTGCAGCACCCAGAATGCACCTCGCTGAAAATCTAGGATCGATAATCAATCACGCTGTAAAGTGGATGGATCGAACACACACAAGAACATGAACACAGAGCGATCTTAGATGTGGAAACTATCACCGGACGACAGGGTGACAGCGCCCCTTTTCGCTTTGGATGGTTCACGATACAAATGCCTAACCGGCTTACAAAATGCTCACATACACGCAATAAGGATCCAGCTACTTATACCTGTAGCTAATGGACCTCTTTTACAAAGCAAATAACCGCACAAACTCGACACCAATGCACTGACTAACACAGAATGCAGATAACTACAGAATGTGGGCATGGTCACCACCACCAACTGCTGCCCCAGCTTGTCTGCCTCAGTTTGAACCTGAGCTTCCTGCCTTGCCGCTGCCAGCTTGGACACGCCATGTTGCTGCCTAGTGTTGTGACAGGATTACACCAACAGAACTCCCCCCTAAACCTGGCACACACTGAGATCCCTGACACCAATCAGGTGAGTCATGACACTCAGCTTCACTGCTGCCATAGACTTAGTCAGCACATCTGCCTTTTGTTCTTCAGTCCCCACCCTTCTCACCACAATTTGCCCCCTCAATGCATTCCCTAATGAAATGATACTTCAAATCAATGTGCTTACTTCTACCATGAAAGACAGGGTTTTTCATGAGAGCAATTGCAGAATTGTTATCAACAAACAGGGTGACTATCTTTGGCTTCTCTCTTGTGATCTCACTGATCAAATTTCTGAGCCACAAAGCCTGTTTAGCTGCAGCTGTAGCAGCCATAAACTCTGACTCACATGAAGACAGTGAAATAGTCTTCTATTTCTGTGAGCACCAAGTGACCAAGTTCTCATTCAAATAGAATGCCATTCCTCCTGTGCTTCTCCTTTCAACAACATCAGCACCATGATCACTATCAGAGTAACCCACAAGCTTGTCTGCACACCCACCTTGAACATACACCAGTCCAAGATTAATTGTGCCTCTCAAGTATCTCCAAATCTGTTTGACAGCTTTGGCATGCATCACTGTAGGCCTTTCCATGAATCTGCTAGCAACTCCCACAGAATAAGCTAGGTCAGGCCTGCTGTGCAACAAATACCTCAAGCATCCAATCATCTTCCTATATTCAGTAGTATCAACCTGCTGACCTCCTTTATCTGCATTCAGTTTGCATCTAGGTTCCATTGGAAACTTGGTAGAGTTACACTCACTCATCCCAAACTGTTCCAACACCTTTCTTGCATATCCACTTTGCTTTATAGTGATGAAATCCTCTTTCTGATCTACTTCTATTCCAAGATAGTAGCTCAGCAGCCCCAAATCTATCATTTCAAATTCTGCCATCATCTGCTTCTTAAACAAATTGATCTCTTCTGTATTGCTCCCAGTTATAACAAGATCATCAACATAAACTCCCAAGATCACTGCACTGTCACCAGTACCCCTGGTATACACTGCTTGCTCACTCAAACATCTTCTGAAACCAAGCTTCTTCAGGCTATTGTCTAGCTTGACATTCCAAGCCCTAGGAGCTTGTTTTAGACCATAAAGTGCTTTGCTTAGCTTGAACACTTCCTGTTCCCTGCCCTTCACTTTATAGCCCTCAGGTTGTGAGACATAGACCTCTTCCTCTAGTTCTCCATGTAAGAAAGCAGATTTGACATCCAAATGATGAACTTTCCATCCATTATTAGCTGCAAATGCAAGTAGCACTGTCACTGTGTCTAACCTGGCAACAGGGGCAAACACTTCTTCAAAATCTATTCCATATTTTTGCACATATCCTTTTGCAACTAATCTGGCCTTGTATTTCACCACTTCACTATTAGAGTTCCTTTTCAGTTTGAAAACCCACTTCAGCCCAATGGGTTTCTTACCCACAGGTAACTTGACCAGTTCCCATGTTTTGTTCCTTTCTATGGATTGCATTTCCTTGTCTATAGCATCCTTCCATTCTTGATGAGCAGCAGCTTCTGCATAACTGGTTGGTTCATCAGCTTCCACCAACAGTGCTTCCACATCGGAGTCTACCAGTTCAACCTCTGAGGTGTCATCATAGATATCATCCAGATTTCTAAACCTCATGGCTCCACTTTCATTTACTGATGATGGTGTGAGCATCTCACTCCCAGAGTGTTCCTATTGTGGTGTGGAGAAACCAGCTCCTGAGAATTCTGCAGAGGTATCATTCTGCATTTCTTGATCAGCTAGCCACTGTAGCTCATCTGGCACATTTTCTGAATCTTCAGGTACTGTATCATTTCCATGTTGCATCTGTTCACTCTGCCACCTGACCTCACTACTTGCACTTCCACTACCAAAATAATATGTTGATGATTCACCATCAACTATAAAATCCACAGAAACTTCTCCATCCCAGTCCCACACCTTACTCTCTTCAAACACTGTATCCCTGCTGACAACAATTTTGTTTGAGGCTGGATCATACAACCTGTATGCCTTGCTTCCATCCTCAACCCCAAAATACACTAGCTTCCTGCTTTTGTCATCAAGTTTCTTCAGGTGTGGTGTAACAACCTTGGCATGAGCTGTACACCCAAACACCTTCAAATGTCCCAAACTTGGCTTCCTTCTAGTCCAAGTTTCATGTGTTGTATTATCACCCAATACCTTGGTAGGTAACCTATTGAGAAGATAAACAGCATGCCTAACAGCTTCTGCCCAGTATCTCCCTGGAACTTTCATGCTCTTCAACAATGCTCTAGCCATATCCATGACTGTTCTGTTTCTTCTCTCAACTACTCCATTTTATTGGGGAGTAAATGGAGCAGTAAACTGTCTCTTGATCCCTGCTTGTTCACACACATCTCCAAACAAACCAGATAGGAATTCCCCTCCCCTATCTGACCTAAGAGTCTTGATTCTGCACTCTGTCAGGTTTTCAACTTCTACCTTGTACTTTACAAAAGCAGCAAGTGCTTGATCTTTGCTCTTAAGCATGTGCACTTCCATCCACCTTGAGTGATCATCAACCAACAGCATTAAGTATTTATTCCCTCCTGCTGTTTCTGGTGAAATTGGACCACACAGATCCACATGGACCAATTTGAGCTTCTCTTCTGCTTGCCACTGAGTAGCTCTAGGAAAGCTTGCTCTTGTTTGTTTGGCTGTCAGACAGTCACTGCACACTTGTTCAGGGTGACTAATGATAGGAACCCCAAAAGCCATTCCTTTCCCCACCAATTGTTTCAAGGATCTAAAGTTGACATGTCCTAATCTTCCATGCCACAACCAAACTTCATTTTCTATGCTAGCCATCAAACAGACAGGTTCCACTGTGTTCAACTCAATTTTGTACATCCTGTTTACTGTCCTGGGAACTTTCATGATCAGTCTATCAGATTGTTTCTCCACTACCTCTAGCTCATTTTCATCAAGCAAAATCTTATGTCCTATTTCTGTCAATTGACCAAGGCTGATAAGATTACTTCTTAATCTAGGAATGTAAGACATCTGACAGAATCCACTGATCCCCAAATTTTCCCTGGAAAACTATTGTACCTTTACCATGAATTGTAACAGTGGAATCATCACCAAACCTCACCTTGCCTGTTATGCCATGATCCAGATCCTTGAATTTCTGAAGATCACCAGTCATGTGGTTACTTGCTCCATTATCCAAGTACCAAATGTTCCCTATAGGATTGCCTCCTTCAGCAAGATGGAGTTCAGGCACTGTCCCTGCCTCTTTCAGAAGCACCTTTGGAGCCCTGTTGTCGAATGAGTATTGTAGCTGTCCCGGCAAGGCCGTTTCAGCCAACAGCACTGAATGCTCCTTCTCTTCTGCTTTGGCATAATGTGCCTCCTCCTTCTTCTTCTCACCTGGGCATCGGTTGGCGTAGTGACCATAGCCATGGCACTTGAAGCATTTGATGTGACTCTTGTCACGCTTCAAGTTGCCATCCCTGCCAGCGTCAGCACCACCTCCACAGCCACTGCTGCTGCCTCCCCGACCATGACCACTCCCTCGCCAACTCCCATCACCTCTCTTCCCCTTCCCTAAGGAATCTCCAACAGCATTCTTCTGTCTTGCTTCCCACTCTGCCTGAGTTAGCAAGACTTGGCCTTTCATCGATCGAGAGCCACTGCTTCCCCGCCGTGTGCGCTCCTCAAAGGCCTTCAGGCGTCCCACTGCTTCATCGAACGCTAGGGTCTTCAGATCATAGAACTGTTCAATACCTGCCACGACGGTGAGATACCGATCGGGCTAGATATCAAACAGTTTCTTCACCAAATCTGAATCTCCGATGCTCCCCTCCCCCAAGTCGCTACTCCTAAGCGATAACGCCGCCGGTTTTCCCACAACCTGATCCAGGATTCATCTTCCTTCATCTCTGCATCAAATCAAAGCTTTCGCCAGCGTTTTGCGGTGAGCATCATCTCGACCCGATCCGCGCCGACGAACCGCGCCTTCAGTGAGTCCCACACCTCCTTCCCCGTCTTCTTCTTGGCGACTTGCATCAAGATGTTGTCGGGGATGCACTCAAGTAGATGGGCTTTCACCTTCTTGTCCTTGGCGGTCAGCTTTGCCGCTTTCGCCGCCGTCGGCTCCGTCGCCGATGTGCTCTCCTTCGGCTCCACAACCTCCCACTCCTCCCGATCCTCCATGATCGCCTGAACACGAATACACCAACTGGTATAATTCGTGCTTGTTAGGGTCGGATACACCTGGCGCGCTTCCCCGCTGCCCCGCGCACCGTCCCCGCTCCCGCCGCCGCCTCCGCCGGGAACGATTGACATGGTCCTAGATCTAAGAGTGGCTCCGCGTGAGATTGGCTGCTCTGATACCAGATGAAAGTCTAGGATCGACAATCAATCACGCTGTAAAGTGGATGGATTGAACACACACAAGAACATGAACACAGAGCGATCACAGATGTGGAAACTGTCACCGGGCGACAGGGTGACAACGCCCCTTTTCGCTTTGGATGGTTCACGATACAAATGCCTAACCGGCTTACAAAATGCTCACACACACGCACTAAGGATCTAGCTACTTATACCTGCAGCTAATGGACCTCTTTTACAAAGCAAATAACCGCACAAACTCGACACCAATGCACTGACTAACACAGAATGCAGATAACTGCAGAACGTGGGCGCGGTCACCACCACCAACTGCTGCCCCGGCTTGTCTGCCTCAGTTTGAACCTGAGCTTCCCGCCTTGCCACTGCCAGCTTGGACACGCCACGTTGCTGCCTGGTGTTGTGACAGGATTACACCAACACTCGCGTCGAATCTATAAACCTTTCAGCCCTGAACATCACCGGAATCTTATCTCCATCCATTGCTCACCTTCGTTTCCTACATAGGATCGACATATCTTACAACCAAATCAATGGCTACATACCTCCAGAGATTGGCAATCTAACACGTTTGAGTATCCTCGACCTAAGCATGAACTCCATCACCGGGGTGATTCCAGCCATATCTTTCTGTACCCGCCTCCAGGTTATCAGGCTAAGGAACAACTCAATCGAATGTGAGATTCCCCAAACTCTTGCTAACTTGCAGTTTCTTCAAGAAATTATTCTTAGCAATAACAAACTTGGTGGAAGCATTCCTTCTGGCATTGGTTTGCTTCCTAGACTCCAATTTCTGTTTCTCCCCAGTATCTGTATAGTAGTATTCCTGAGTTCTTGGGAAGTAGTTCAGCACTCTCCATGGTGGTTGTGTGGAACAATAGCCTAACTGGTGGCATTCCACCTATGTTGGCAAATTGCTCAACACTCTACTACCTTGACCTCATGAGTAACAAGCTCACTGGAAACATCCCTTCTACTCTCTTCAACAGCACATCTCTTCTTCACATAGACCTGTCAGATAATGGTTTTTCTTGGCCCATCCCATCATCATCCTTGATGTATTCACCTGTGCAGTATATTAGCTTAACAAGAAACAACTTCTCAGGAGTTATACCCGCCACACTTGGAAACATGTCCTCCCTTATCATCCTCCTTCTGGCTGAAAATAATTTGCATGGAAGCATCCCTGAACATTTAGCTAGAATTCCAAGATTGGAGGTACTAGACTTGGCTTATAACAACTTGTCAGGCCGGGTTCCACGAAATTTTTTTAATAGCACGTCACTCACTTATCTTGGTCTTGGTGTAAATGAACTTATCGGAACAATTCCAAGTGATATTGGCTACACTCTTCCAAACATCCAAACATTGGTCATGGAAGGAAACCATTTTGGTGGCCCACTCCCAGTGTCTCTGGTTCATGCTTCCAACCTCCAAGCTTTGGAACTCCGTGATAATGCATTCACTGGAGTCGTTCCTTCGTATTGGTCATTGCCCAGCTTGACACAGTTGGACCTTGGTGCAAACAATCTTGAGACAGTAGATTGGAGTTCCTTGTCTTCAACGACAAGCTCGAACATGCTGCAGATGATATATTTAGACAATAACAATCTTCAAGGATCAGTACCGAATTCCATTGGGAATCTTTCATCTAACTTACAACAATTGTTTCTAACAGAAAATAATTTTAGTGGAAGCAAACCTTCCGAGATAGGAAACCTTGGAAATCTCACTGTTCTTCAACTGGAAGGAAACAGATTCTCTGGAAGAATTCCTGAGACGATTGGAAATCTAGGTAGGTTGTTTGTCTTCAGCTTGGCAAACAATATACTTTCTGGTAGAATCCCGGAATCAATTGGAAATCTTGAAAGCTTAAGTGATCTTTATCTCCAGGAGAACAACTTGAGTGGTTCAATACCTCCAGGCATTAAAGGTTGCAAGAATTTAGTGATGCTGAACTTGTCACATAATGTTCTCCAAGGAAGCATCCCACCTGAAATCCTATCCATTTCTTCTCTTTCTAAAGGCCTGGACTTGTCATATAATAAACTCACTGGATCCATATCATCTAACATTGGTAGACTGATTAATCTTGGCTTCCTTGATATTTCCAACAACCATTTATCTGGAGTGATTCCTCACACACTTGTTGAATGCATTCTATTGGAATCCATTCACTTAGAGGTGAATTTTTTTTATGGGAGCATCCCCCTATCCTTTTCAAGCTTAAGGGGCATCACCAAGATGGATCTATCTCAAAACAACTTATCTGGTGAAATCCCAAACTTTCTTGAGACGTTTAGCAGTTTGCAGCTTCTTAATTTATCATTCAACAACCTCGATGGAGTTGTACCTACAGGTGGTCCATTTAGCAACTCAAGCAGGGTTTTCTTAGAAGGGAACACGATGCTATGCACAAGAGACCCAATCCTACAGTTACCACATTGCATGTCAACAATATCGAATAGAAAGAGGACTTCCTACATTATATTGATAGCAGTTCCACTTGTCAGTGCTGTGACCATCTTAGCTGCTTTATTCGCTGCAATCATTCTTTTGAAGAAGAGATTTCGTAAGAAGAAGCTTGTTCAAAAGTCACTCCAGGGTTTGAAGAAGTTTTCATATTCTGACATAGCTAAGGCAACAAACGAATTCTCTTCAGACAACCTTGTTGGAGCTGGGAGATTTGGATTTGTCTATATAGGTATATTCAAGTTTTTGGCACACCCTGTTGCAGTCAAGGTGTTCAAACTTGACCAACTTGGGGCACCAAAAAACTTCTTTACTGAATGTGAGGTGTTACGAAGCACTCGGCACAGAAATCTTATACGGGTGATTAGTTTGTGCTCAGGCTCGGACCAAATGGGAAATGAGTTCAAAGCCCTCATTCTTGAGTATATGGGAAATGGTAACCTCGAAATATGGCTGCATTCAAATGGGCTGTCAGAAACAAAGAGAATGCCATTAGATCTATGTTCAAGGATAATGATAGCCATAGATATAGCTGCAGCCTTGGACTATCTCCACAATTGGTGCACGCCTCCTCTAGTTCATTGTGATTTGAAGCCAAGCAATGTTCTTTTCGATGATGATATGGTTGCTCACGTTAGCGACTTTGGATTAGCAAAGTTTTTGCACGACCATTCTTCAGTGAACCTTAATAGTTCAACAAATATTATTGGACCAAGAGGTTCAGTTGGATACATTGCACCAGGTAAGCATTTATTCATATGATTTTGATATATGTCCCTTGGTCAGCCTTAGTGGAAGTAATTAATTTATCACGCGTTCTCAGATATTTTGAAAATAATAGGGTTTTAATGCAATACCCTTCCTTAAGATAATTTCGTATGCTACAATAATTTGATTTTTTTTTGTATTACATTATTTATGCAGAATATGGAATGGGCTGTGAAATTTCAACAGCAGGTGACATTTATAGCTATGGAGTTATTCTATTAGAAATGATTACAGGAAAGCATCCAACAAATGACATGTTTAAAGATGGCCTTAACCTTCACAATTTTGTGGAGCATGCATTTCCACACAATATTTGTGAGATTTTGGACAGCAGCCTCATTCCGTTTCATGGGGCAGCAAGTCATGACAATGAAATTGGGAATCAAACACTCAATGGTATTCAAAACTGTATCAAAAGGATGGCACAACTGGGCCTAATGTGTTCTGTGGACTCACCGAAAGATCGGCCGGCAATACAGGATGTTTACACTGAAATCATTGCAATAAAAGAAATGTTTTTAGAATCAGTGTTGAGAGAATGGAAATATTGATTTACGCGGTGCTTGTCCATCAATGCATGCTCCTACGTATGATAGGGCTGACTACCCGGCTAGGAGATGGGCTGGCCCAAGGTTTGGCTAGATGGCGCGGAACATGGTGGCGTGTTCTCCAAGGCTACAAGGACTGACCTAGTCGGATTATATGAAAGCTAGTCTCTATAATAGAATTAGGACTCTTCTGTTGTAACCGACCAGGACTAGATCAATGCACCTTCTCTCTGGACTATATAAAGAGAGACAGGGGCATCCCCTTGTAACATCATCATACATAACAATCCAATGCAAGACAACACGCCTAACTGGACGTAGGGTATTACGCTATTCAGCGGCCTGAACCAGTATAAATCGATGTCTTTGCGTTCACCATCTAGTTGAGCATACGTCGAAGCCCACCTAACATCGTTCCGGGTAACCCTGTAACGTGTTGCCAGTCATTAGACACCAACACTTTGTGCACATAGTCTCTCTCTGTGCATTTTCTGATATTATTCAAATGTCATACTCTGTAATACTTTTTTGGGTAGCATATGTTTGTCAATTACCTTATATATTTTTCCTCATCATATTAGTTTACAAAGTGCATGTCCAATGCATGCTCGTACAGATCTCACATGCCCTCATGTCCTTCGAGGACTAATCTTGGTTAGATGGACTTTGCTTCTGTGCTTCTTATAAAAGTGCTCAACTAAGTCTACTTCTCTACAATCTAGCAATATGATCCAGAAAACACGATGTTGCATTGTTGGGTTCGTATCAGCACCAAGTGGCATAAACCTTCTCATAAAGATGAAATAATCACCAAGAGTGATACAAAACTATCGCTGTAAATAGCGCCAACACTAGTGCTCTGCATCTAGTTCTCAAGTGCTTAGAACATATGGTTGAGTTCTTCACTTTGAGACAATAGTGATGGAAAGGAAAGGCCCTGTTATTTGAATCTTTGCTTACGTTAATTGAAATTTCATACCATATATTTTAGCATATCATTGTGAAGAACTTTGGATTTGACGTAGCACATATCATGGGACTATAGTTGACAAGATAATACTTCCAAACCATTACTTCAAATGAGTTCTCTAGGATTTTTTTTAAATCATTTTGGAGCCAAATAGCTTTGCCACATTAGGGGACATT